TTTCGCAACGCGTGATTATGTATCCCCGATTAAAAACGTCGACCTGTGTGTGTCTGTGATTACTTTCTCATGACAAATTGCGCACGAGACATACACAACGCTGTTTGTACATAAAGTATAGAGTGCGGCGCGCGACTCGCGAATTCGCCCCGGTACACGGTGACTTTGCGGCGCCCGTCGTATGTATCGCAATATGAAATGTACTTACGATTTTGACCCCCTTCGGCTCGATAGTCATTTCGATCCAATTAATCGGACCACTATGTATATCGATTGTTGTTCCCACGCGCGCGGCCTAGCGTGGCCGCGAAGATTTTCGGGTCTCGGTGCAAAAAAATGTTCACTGCTACATAGTCGGAATCGCAAGTGGTCAGTTCCAGCCGAGTACCGTCTAGAAACAATCTTTGAAAGAAAAATTCTTCGAACACGAGGTATTTCACTTCAAATTTAATACGAACTTTTCGAATTCTTGAATAAATATTAATTAGAGCGCCATAGATCGAGACGTTGGTGAGCCGCTTTTCGCTATCGAGCGAAACATCAAACGGTACCAAAGCTACCGGTAGGTGGCGCGTGGCCGAAATTTTCAAAACTCGCGAGAAAAGAAGCCAAGTTTTAGGAATAATTATGAGTCAAATCGTGATCGCACTTACACTCCTTGTTTTTTGTGCGTTAAGTAGTCATATAATTCGAATTTCCAGACTGCTAAATAATTAAAGGTCGAGTATCGGTCACCCGAAGAACTTGATGCGATTTTCCCTGCGTAAATAGCAATAAACAATGTACGCACACGGAGGTACACGCGTCGATCGTTACCTACATACAAGCGCATTACTTTTCGCACTCGCTGCCGAGCTTTACACGCCAAGTACACGTGAATTACAGTTCCATGTGTATATTATACACGTTCGTTTCTCTTGCTCGTGTCCCTTTTTTGCTTTTGCTTTGTTTTTTCTGCTTCATTTTTTTTTCTCCTTTTCCGCCGAGGTAAAAGTCATCAAGGTACATTACATACCTGCGCGGAGCTTTCACCGCCGTCTGCTACGTACACTGCGTGCCTCGGATGTGTGCATTCAGAAGCTCTCGTTTGGGGCTGTGTGTGTGTGTATGCAAACTCTGTCTTGAGTTACGTGATCCACAAAACGACACATTTACACGAGTACAAAAATATATAATACGCGCTCCTCTTTCATCCTGGCTGTGCGGGCGAGCAGCAGTAGCAACGGATAGCGCCTCGAAAAGAGAAAGAGAAAAAGAGAAAGACAAGAGATGCATTTTTTGCGATGCCAATGACCAAACGAAGTGAGCAGCAGCAGCAGCAGGTTGATCTTTTCAATATAATGGGCCATTTATGTAATCGCGTGTATACGCCGAGAGTCTGTGTGTAGATCTTTTTTTATTTTCTCGCATTCGGCATGTGGGTACTCGATGCTGCTGCAGCTCCTCTGATGTAATGCACATAAATGCCGCTGCCGCACACACACTCACTGTATTACATGCGATTGATACGTATACAGAGTATTGTGAAGGTGTTTGCGGTTTACCATGTATTATACGCACGCACACGCCGACACTGCGAGATGAGATTTTAATTGCGTCGAGCATGTGTATCGCACGTATCGCGTTATATGTACACGGAGAGATCGTTACGTATTTATACGTATGAACGAATTATCGTTGTTGTTATTATTATTATTAGGTGAATTTTCCCGGGCAGCAGGAAACTTTTGAAAAGAAAAAAAAATAGCAAGAAAATTAAATGTGTGTGTGTGTGTGTGTGTGTGTGTGTGTGTGTGCAATAATAAAAAAGCACGTGTACGCGGTTAACGACGAAAACACGTGCGCCGCGCCAATAGTGCGCTCGTTATCGGAATTTCCTCTTATCGATATATGTGTATGAGCAGCAGCAGCGGCACACTCAATTCAACAACAATTGCGCAGTTCTCAAATTTATATCAAATGTACTTTGCAGGTTCTTTTTTTTTATAATTCTCGATCGCACTGCGATAAAATAACTGCAGGCGCACTGTAGAGGTGTGCGAGATTTCGATCGACATTCAATAATAATGATCATTTCGCGGTATGAATCTGGGTCAATGTCAACGTTATTATTACTAATTTTTGAGTATACCCTCGTTTGTACAATAATCATTGGAATTTGTGTTTTTTCTTTCCGCGTTCTCCGCACAAACGGTTGAAAAAGTACGCGTATATGGTATCTCGCGCATTGCCTCGGAGTCAACTCCATAAGCCTCCGTCAATTTTGCCCGCGCGACGTTGCGAGCGATCTCGCTCGCGGACCCGCGCGCGCGCATTATCATAATCTATCTCATTAGAGAGGTATGTGTGCAGGAACTCGCGTACGTTTATATAGTATATATAAATGCATTACAGAAGCAGGAAAGTCGAGAGACACAGGCAAAAGACTGTTTGCGGTGTGCAGCACTGCAGCACAAACGTATGTGTGTATATGTTTATGTTTGTGTGTGTGTGTGTGTTGTGTGTGTTATGCGCGCGGGCTCATTTGTAGACTGTCGCGCGCGCGCTTGATTTTCTTTGCGGTGAAAGGGTATATATACGATTGCTGGTGCACAGACCGTACTCCGAGGTATATACGTATTATGAATATATACGTCGAAAACAGAAGGAAATTGGTTTTGTTCCGCGCGACTTTTCGCTTTCGAAATTATACATACACACACACGCGAAATTTGCGTAATAATTCGAATAAATGCGTATATGATACGTTACGTATATGGTTCGGCGCGCGCAATTGATGAACGCAAAAATTTTCCTTCCAATTCACGCCCGCGCACGAATGTCCGCCGTCGCAGTCATGCATACATAGCAACGATAATAACACGCCGCGTGTGTAAAGAAAAGATACGGACGTATGAGTGTGTGTGTGTAATGCAATAAAGAGAATAAACGAATAGATCCGAGAGAGATCTCCGGAGAGCTGCAGCACATACGGCGCTGCTCGCCAAAGCTTTATTTTTGCTTTGAAGGATGCCGCGCGCGCGGCGTCGGTGCGCACACATTAATACATAAGGTCGAATCTTTCGTATACGTTTCGCAAGGATATGTGCAGGTGTGTGCATACGCGCGTACATATATACGAATAAACGATAGGCCGCCTTAGTCGTCTTAGTCGTAGTCGTAGTGGTCGTTCGTTTCATGCTCCTCTGAACGCCCGCTGCACCGTATATAGCTACACTAGGCAGCTTATAAGCACGAGAGACAAAGGTTTCCTGTGCTCGCGCGCATCTCGCTCGTCGCGATGCGTCCTACCTTCCGCAGCTTTAACGCAAAAGCAAAAAAAAAGTTTACTTTTATTGTTTAAAAAAAAAATATTTTATATATATATATATAAACGTATATACGCTATAAAAGCAAATGACAATGGGACGCTGCTGCTGCTGCTGGTTGGCTTAGTGGGTGCGTAATTGTGCAGTTCCAGCCATTTACTTTTTCCCCAGCTGTCGACGATAGAGAGACAGGGACTGCACTGCGTCCATTTATACATTATGGTCGCGGCGGTGCAATGCGCATAGGAGCGACCCTCGATAGTAATCTTTTTTCTCTGCTCATTTTTGTCTCGTTTTTTCATCGAGGATCGTTAAGATATCTCGACTCTCCAATTGTCTCCGTAATGCCTTACTTTATTATTGCGATTCGGTTGGCTCTCGGAGCTCGATTGGGATAAAAATGTAAAATCTGCGCTCGTTGCAATTACTGCTCGATTCCTTACAAGCTATTATAACGATCGCAGCTGAAATTACGGATAATTTGGTCGATCGACTATTATATGGTAGCGATCGGAGTTAGGTATGGACTTAGGATAATGAACGCTCGAACTAGATTATATGGATTAATGCATTCGACGTTTTCGTGCTTTGCACTTTAGCGCTTTGACACGCAGCGATTGCTCCCTTTTTTTTTAACAATCGTGTACGTGGAAAAATGTATAATTTCGTTCGCGTTTGCACAATGACAGCGACAGTAGCAGAGCAGAGAAAAAGAACAAAAAAAAAAGAAAAAAAAGAAAGAAAAGGAAGAAAGAGAGAGAGAGAAAAGGGCAGCCCCCGATCATCCTGTGCAGATATATTACCGCCGAAACCATCAAAAAGTTCATTTGTGTGCTTATATACTTTTGTACACATAATAGCTGCCTTGTGTATATACAACTCCTGCCCGTGGAAGGAAGTTGCAAGTTGCATGACGCGCGCGGCCAGCCAAGACCACCGTCTTGCCGCATCGTACATATACTGCTCCGTGGCTCTCTCAGAGCTGCAGCACTATATACAGGGCAAACGACCTTCCATTCGCGTAGCAGCAGCAGCAGCATACACATACACATATATCTATATTTGTATATATGTATGTATTGGTTGCGATGCACAATGCTGACTCTGGTTTTTTTTTTTCGTGCGCTGCGCTACGATGCGTTACTTGTGTATGTGCATCTCTCTCTCTCTCTCTCTCTCTCCAGCCGAGGATTGTAAATATCGGACTCGTAGAATCTAGGATGCGAGGATGCGGGTATATCTACGCAGTCGAACGCATTATAGACATAGGAGCATTTCGCAATCTCTAGTAGGCCTTAAAAGTTATCAGTTACATTATAGCGAACTATCCCTCTCTCTCTCTATAATGTGTCGCAACGATCCTTTAACAGATACAGCTGCCAATCACATACATCACGCATACTACGTATAGCTGAGGTGCTCCGAAACTCGACCCGTCTATCTCTCTCTCATTTTCGCGTCTTACATAAAACTTCGATACACGCGTAAATATACATTTTCCACGAAGGATCCTAGCGATGCGTGAAGCTGCCTTATACATACAATAATATTATTATACAGCGTTACAATTAATGAGGCGTATACTCGAGTCGATCTCCTTTTTATACATTATAATGCATCGAGCGAACAATAATACCGCAAAACCACATGGAAATTAATCGATTCTTATACTCTTTTATCTCGTTGTTGCAGGCCGAGAGAGGAGAGATCGTCATCCACATCGACGAGCGGCGTCGGCGGCGTTGGCGGTAACAACAGCAACAGTGGTGCTGGAGCAGCAGCAGCAGCAGCATCAGCCATGGTACTAACCGTGACGGAGGACACACCCGCGGACATGCTGGCCGGCAGCATGGAGCTGCTCGTGCAGATGCCGCGCGAGCACAGCGTACAGACGCACAGGGTCACCGTGCAGAGGAGGTAATTATTTATTTTGCAATTGTTGTTGTTGTTGTTTCGTATACGTACATATGTAGCGCGCAAATCATGCGTCAAATTTGTTTCCCTTTTACGATTTGTATACGTATATAAGTGTATCGAGAGTACATACAGAGCACACGGTGCAGTTAAAGTTTATTGACTCTCCCGTACATGTGTATAATAATGATGATAATAATGGGAGGGTATCGCACACACGAGGCGACGATTTTTATGCGTGCGGATTTCGCAAACGATCGTATATATACCTAATTGAGTAGTGGGGAGGCAGGAGAAAGGTCGTATATCGTATAGCGGAGGGCCTTAGGATATCATTTGGGATGCAGCCCATTGTCCGTATTATGTACAAGGTCGTGTGTACGCGAGTACATAGTCTCGAATCGCTCGACTGAATGCATAAATCGATCATCATGGCCACTGTATATACGCGTGGATCATTCCCATGTACGGTGGAGAGGATCGACCTTTGTACGAATGAATGAAACTCGAAGTAGTGGTGGTGGTAGTGGTATACATTGTAATTGTTTAATGCGCGCTCGGCAATTGCAATTAGATTCATTGTTGTTATAGATAAGGTAGGCTGCTACGGTGCGCGTTCCTAAGAGTGAACATCTCCGCATCCATCTTTCTCTCTCTCTTTTTTTCGCTTCGTTATATACGGGAATAATTGCCCAGGCCCTGAGAGAGAGAAGAGAGAGACTAGACGACGAAGCACATGGGAAAAAGTGATGGCTCGGAGTCAAAGAGGGAGAAAGAAAAGTTATTTTTTTTCTTCATTTTAATATTTTACGACGTATACATACGTACCGAACGAAGCGATTTTTCGATAACGCGCACGCGCAGCACAGCGTGGCAGCAGCAGCAGCACTTTCTGTAAAATGCATTACGTTGTATTATTACGTGTATATTACGACGCCTGCCGCCGCGTGTATTTATTTACCTGTGCGCCTTTCAAGACGTGTGTGTGTGCAGCTCCACATCTCGCGTGGACGTTATAATTGGCTTTGAATTTCAAAGAGATGCGCTTGTTTGCGCGCTTTTATCTGTCTTCCTCTCGCTTTTTTCTTTCCTTCTTTCTTTCTAAGCGCACATCGGACGTGTCGTGTGTGTGTGTGTGTGTGTGTGAGCATAAGCTTCGATGCTGCTGCTGCTGCTGTGCCATCGAGCGTACATATCGTGCGATTCGCATAATATTTAACGAACAAAGAAAAATTAAAAAGGAAAGGAAAAAAAAGAATAGGCAATTTATATTTAAATATCCTTCGAGGCCTGCCCGTGTATAATAACTAATATACTACATTTGCGATTGCGCAAAAACGCCGATCGCGGAAGAGGTATACCCCAAACTTATGCAAATGAAAGCCGATGCGACTCGCGCGAGGTAAAACAGCTTCAACAGCTATGAATTAAGAAACTGCGGTCGTTACGTTGAAATTTGTTTACACGCACAGGCGACTTTGGCCACAATATTTTGTTCGCCTGCGTCAATCATAAACAAGTTTCATTTAATTACGTCGATCCGGTGCTCACAGATTGATTCTAACTTGAAAATTCGTTTCCTAAATTTTCAAATAGTTAACTTGGAAATGTTCATTGTTATCAATTACTCGGTTATGATAAGGATAAGTTGAAACTTTTCAGAACAGGTACTGTCGCTGCACCTTAAAAAATGAATTTCTTCATAATTATCGACTTTCCTTTCTCTTACTGGGGCACCGTTTCTAGTTCCTGTACTATTTAGAAGTCCAAAAAAAAATTCTTCGGAAAAATCGTTGACACATTGAAATTTTAAACTGGTATAAATATTGTAAGGATAACATTTACCCAAATATATCGGTAACTCAATAGTAAACAATATGATCATGAACGATTTTGACATAGCCTCTCTTACAGTGATCATGTTTACACTGAAACCCCAATTAGTTTTGAAGCTGCCTTTTCCAATGAAACAGGCCGTGATATCAAAAGACTAATTTCACTCATTTCATTTTCGTGATACTTAATAGACTGATCAATCGTTTAATTTAGGCACCAAAATGGATAAAAATGAGGAGAAAATGGAAAAAATTGTCTCGAAAGATAATTTAAGTGACGACAAACAATACGTTTGCGATATCTGTCAGGAGGCATTTACACTAGAATCAAGCATGATAATACACCGAGACACAATTCACAACGAACAGAAAGATTTCGCTTGTGACAAATGTGAGAAGAAATTCGAGTTCCGAAGTCATCTGAGTAGACACCAAATATCGGTACACAGAGGCCGCAAAGATTTTGCATGCAATCAGTGCGAGAAAAAATTCGTGAAAAAATCCAGTTTAATCACGCACCAAAAATTGGTACACAAAGATCATAAAAATTTCACATGCAACAAGTGCGAGAAAAAATTTGAAAATAAATCAAATTTAATAAATCACAATAAAATATTCCACGAAGTTTTCAAAGATTATTTATGTGAAAGATGCGCGAAGAGATTTGGAAATAAACAGAGTTTGCTGATACATATAAAGACAATCCATGAAGGTCGCAAAGATTTCGCCTGCGATAGGCGCGGAGAGAAATTTAGAGAAAAATCGCATTTGCTCTATCATCTAAGCACGGAACACGAAGATCGGGAAGATTTTCCCTGTGACAAGGGCGCGGAGGTATTTAAAAAAAAATCGCATTTGATCGACCACCAAAGTACAATACATAAAAGTCACAGAGACTCTGTAGATAATAAGTGCGAAAAGATATTTGGAAGAAAATTTACTTTGTTGAAGCACCAAAGAACAGTTCACGAAGGTCGGACAGATTTTGTATGCGATAATTGCGAGAAGAAATTTGGACATAAATCGACTTTAATTTTTCATCAAAAAACAGTCCACGAGGGTCGCAAAGATTACGCATGCGACAATTGCGAAAGAAAATGTGTACGTAAATCAGATTTATTGAAGCACCAAAGGGCAGTTCATGAGGGTCGCAAAGATTTTGCATGCGACAAATGCGAAAAGAAATTTGGACAAATGAGTAGTTTGCTTTTCCACCAAAAGACAGTCCACGAAGGTCGCAAAGATTTCAAATGCGATAATTGCGAGAAAAAATTTGGACAAAAATCACATTTGCTCTCCCACCAAAGGGCAGTCCATAAAGGACGTAAAGACTATGCATGCGACAAATACGAAACGAAATGTGGAAGTAAAGCAGATTTGTTGAATCACCAAAGGATAGTGCATGAAGGTCGTAGAGATTTCGCCTGCGACAAGTGCGAGAAAAAGTTTGGCCATAAATATAATTTGCTCGCGCACCAGAAAACAGTACACGAAGGTCGCAAAGATTATGGATGCGACAAATGTGAGATGAAATTTGGACTTAAATCGAATTTATTCAGGCACCAAAAGGTAGTACACGAAGGTCACAAACATTTCGCATGCAAGAAGTGCGAGAAGCGATTCGGAAGTAAAACATATTTGCTTTTGCACGAAAAGATAATCCATGAAGGTCGGAGAGATTTCCCATGCGACGAGTGCGAAAAGAAATATACACAAAGATCACATTTACTCGTCCACCAAAGAATCGTCCACGAAGGTCGCGAAGATTACGAATGCGTCAAGTGCGAAAAAAAATTCGGACATAGATCGCATTTTCTTTTTCACCAAAGAACAGTCCATGAAGGTCGGAGAGATTTCCCATGCGACAAGTGCGAAAAGAAATATACAAAAAGATCGCATTTACTCGTCCACCAAAGAACAGTCCACGAAGGTCGTGTAGATTTCGAATGCGACAAATGCGAAAAAAAATTCGGACAAAGATCGCATTTGCTTTGCCATCAAAGAACAGTCCACGAGGGTAGCAAAGATTACGCATGCGGCAGATGAAAGAAAAAATTTGGACGAATACAGCATTTACTTTTGCATCATAAGACAGCCCATCAAAGTCGGAAAGACTACGCATGCGACTACAACGGAATGAAATTTAGACACTGATTGAGTTCGTTCCAACATCAATCGACAGCCCACATAGATCAGTGGAATTTGGTACGCGAAAAAAGCGAGAAAAAAAATATGTATTTAAGCAATTTAATTGAACACCAAAAACCATTTCATGAAAAAGTTTTTATGAATAATTTATTGCATGTATGAACGTGTCTTAAAGTCGTTGCAATCGTATGCTCTGAATAGTTCCTCAGAAAATAGTATGCATCTCGTTAGCAAAATCATAAAAATCGACGATCTTTTTTCTTAACAATTGTTAACTTATAGAAAATTTCTTTAGTTGTTCAATAAAAACCGTATTAATATGTTTGTGTCTTATCCGCACCTGGTGCTTCGACTTTTATTATTACACCTTTGTTAACTGTCCTGATGGTACTTTAGCATTAAAATCCCCAAAATTTCGCGCACTGCTAATCACTAATCTCCGTCCTTTTTTCGGCTACACTGGTCCTGCAGCTCTTCCATCCTGAACTTGTCTCGAGAGAAAAAAAAATGAAAAAATCCCGGGCATCCAAAAAAAAATTCTTCGGAAAAATCGTTGACAAATTGAAATTTTAAACTGGTATAAATATTGTAAAGATAACATTTACCCAAATATATCGGTAACTCAATAGTAAACAATAGTAAACAATGATCATTAACGATTTTGACATAGCCTCTCTTACAGTGATCATGTTTACACTAAAACTCCAATTAGTTTTGAAGCTGCCTTTCCCAATGAAACAAGCCACAATATCAAAAGACAAATTTTACTCATTTCATTTCTGTGATTCTTAGTAGACTGATCAATTGTTAAATTAAGGCACCAAAATGGATAAAAGTGAGGAGAAAATGGAAAAAATTGTCTCGAAAGATAATTTAAGTGACGACAAACAATACGTTTGTGATATCTGTCAGGAGGCATTTACACTAGAATCAAGCATGATAATACACCGAGACACAATTCACAACGAACAAAAAGATTTCGCTTGTGACAAATGTGAGAAGAAATTCGAGTTCCGAAGT